AGATTTAAGAATCGTAGTGGCACACATAGTGTGATGAGGCATGGTGAGGCTGCTAGTTCGGACCAAAAAGCGGCTGAAAAATATGTGAAGGAATTCAAGGAGTACGTAGACAGTGGAGGGCTGAAACCTGAACAAGTGTTTAATTGTGATGAAACAGGCCTGTTTTGGAAGAAAATGCCAAACAGGACCTACATTACTCAGGAGGAAAAGGCACTCCCAGGACATAAGCCTATGAAAGACAGGCTTACTCTCGTGATGTGTGCTAATGCAAGTGGTGATTGCAAAATGAAGCCTTTATTGGTGTATCACTCTGAAACTCCCAGAGTGTTCAGGCAAAACAATGTCCTCAAGGCTAATTTGTATGTGATGTGGAGGCCAAACAGTAAGGCATGGGTCACTAGAGACCTTTTCTATGACTGGTTACACCATGCATTTGCCCCCACTGTGAAAAATTACCTCCTGGAAAATAAATTGGACCTTAAGTGCCTCCTGGTATTAGACAATGGTCCTGGTCATCCTTCAGACTTGGCAGAGTGACTTTCTGGGGACATGAGCTTCATTAAGGTCAAGTTTTTGCCTCCTAATACCACTCCTCTCCTGCAGCCCATGGACCAGCAAGTCATTTCAAACTTCAAAAAACTCTACACAAAAGCTATGTTTCAAAAGTGCTTTGTAGTGACCTCAGAAACTCAATTGAGTTGAGGGAGTGACTAAGAGGACCTTGAACTCTGCTTGGAAGAAACTGGCCAGAATGTGTAGACAAAAGGGATTTTGAAGGATTTGAGGCTAACCCTGAGAAGCGTATGCCAGTTGTGGAATCAATTGTGGCATTGGGGAAGTCCTTGAGGTTGGAGGTTAGTGGGGAGGATGTGGAAGAGTTGGTGGAGGAGGACATTGAAGAACTAACCACTGATGAGCTGCAAGATCATCTTCAACAGCAAGAGGCCAGACCTGAGGAAACTGCTTCGGAGGAGGGGAGAGAGAAATTGAGGAAGTTGCCTATTTCAAAGATTAAGGAAATGTGTGCAAAGTGGCTTGAAGTGCAAACCTTTATGGATGAAAATCACCTTCAGACAGCTATTGCAAGCCGTGCTGGCGACTATTACATTGACAATGTTGTGAACCACGTTAGACAAATCATAAAGGAACGGGAGGTACAGGCCTCTATGGACAGGTATGTTGTGCGACAGAGGTCCAGTGACTCTCAAGCTGGTCCTAGTGGAATTAACCCTTTGGGAGTTTAGGACGTACTAGTACGTCTTACGACCCAGGGTTTTTGACGTACTAGTACGCATAAATTCTAGCCCCCTCGAATCTAGTGAGAGAAAGCTGGTAGGCCTACATATGTAAGAATGGGTCTATGTGGTCAGTGTGCACAGTATAAAAAAATCCTGCAGCACACAGTGCATAATGAGAAAAAAAAAACTTTGACAGTGTTTTTGGATTAAAACAGCGACTTTGCACTGTATTTTCGTATGGTATTGTTGTATTCTAGTTTTCTTGGTCTCATTTTATAGAATGGAAGACATATTACAGAAATTGAGATGATTTTGACTGGTTTTACAATGAAAAGTACCTTGAAACTGAGCTCCAAGTAGCAGAAATGTTCAATTTTTACCAAAGTTCAGAAGTAAACAAATGATGCCAAGCGTCCAATACACATTAACTGGTGAGTCTGATATTCTTTCACAAGTGTGCTGATATTATTTATACCATTTCTACACTAATGCAGTAGCCTGCATAACAGTAAATCTTATTTTTTTTTTTTTTTGTAAGAATAAAAATTCAAAGTGGAAAGCCAAAGAAATATAAGAGGGGCCTGGGGATGTGACTAACGAACAGAGAACTTGTTATATTAGTGCCAGGAATGTCTTTCGTGTTTATTCTGGACCCTATTCGGAAATTGGCATCTTTTGAAATTTGTGTGAAATTGGCAAAACTGCTAAATTCTGACCACAGTATTGGATAGTTGAAATCAGTAAATGGGTGGTTTCTTGTACTCATTCGATAGAAAAAATGGAGTTCTAGCCAAATAGTTATGATTTCTGTCGACTAGTACACTGGAATTGGCCTAAAATAGGGCTCAAAGTGGGCAAAATCGCCGATGCGTAAACATCGTCGAGACCACTAACTTCGCTAGAGCATAATTCCGTAAATTTTCCATAAAATTTCATACTTTTGGTGTCATTATGATCGGGAAAAGATTCTCTATCTTTTCATAAGAAAAAATAACTTTTTTTTTTTTAAATTTGGCCAACCCTGAGAACAAGTCTCTGAGAGAACCTGCCGATCCCCAAAGAGTTAAAGATTTTTTGACAAAATATTAGCTAATGATATCATAGAAGACATTAAATTTTCAAGAGATTTACCCATCAAAGTAGAGTGAACGCATGGTTTCGTAGGAAGGAGGGTGACAACTGCATTGTGTGTAATACCTGTTGGTTCACGAGTGGCTCTCTGAGACAGAGAGACAGGAAGACAGAGACACACAGGCCAACAGAAAGACAGACACACAGGCAGACATCAAGACAGACACACAGGCAGATAAAGACAGATAGGCAGAGACAGCTATACAGACAGATAGACAGACATTTTTATGGGTAACAGTGAAAACAGATAAAGCCAGGTTGAATGGAGCAGTGAAAGATCATTAAGGGTCACTCCACTGCTGCACTATCAGCAGTGGAATGACACTCGTCTTACACCATATTTCAGGGAGTTTCATATACCCCAGCATGTCTAAAACATTGCTGGGACCTATAAATACTTTGTATATATTTCTAGTCAGTAGTCTGCTTTGTATATATTTCTAGACAATAGTCTACTTTGTAAATATTTCTAGTCAGTAGTCTAGACAATAGTCTACTTTGTATATATTTCTAGACAATAGTCACAAACACGCTGACAAGTGAAAATGTTCACCTGTCAGTGTGTTTGTGACTGAGTATTATTTCAGTACCTAATATTAGTGTCAGAACAAAGATTGGCTATAAAATCACAAGAACTACTACAAATTGTAATTATCAGAACATAAAAATTATATAAATTAAAATATAAACAAGAAAAATGAAAAAAAGATTTATCAGCAACACTTGTGCAAGCGGCAGGACTTCATGTTGCTGTCAGGTGAGTATCCAATGCCAACTTCGCGGTCTTATATCTCAGGAAGTACTGACCCTAAATTTTTTTTTATCTTATTACACATAGAAAATTGTCCTCTTTAATTTAAAAACAAAAAATTCAAAATATTCGGAGCGCTGGCAGTGAAAACGTAGATCTATGTTTGGACAGTTAAAGGGTTAAGAACTTTCATATACAGTATATGGATAAGGAAATACTAGAGATATGGTGTCAGGAAGTAGTGTCTGTTACAACTGCAGGAAATGTTTAAACATACATTTATATATATATGTATTTTTTTCAACAAGATGGGAGAGAGGGCATAAAATTTGTAAACATTTATAAAGTTATTTGTATGATGAGATATATCATGATAGGTAACTTGGGTTATCCCTCTCAGTTGTCTTGATTAAATTACCTGGAGTCTACCTGGAGGGTATTCCAGGGATCAACGCCCCCTCAGCCTGGTCCACAACCAGGCCGCCTGGTGGATCAGGGCCTGATCAACCAGACTGTTACTGCTGGCCGTATGTAATCCAGCGTATGAACCACAGCCTGGCTGATCCAGCGCTGACTTTAAGTATGTGTTCAGCTCCCTCTTGAAGGCAGCCAGGTGTCTATTGGTGATTCTCCTTAACCCTTAAACTGTCCAAACATAGATCTGCATTCACTAACATTGCACTCTGAACATAGATCTGCATAAACACACGTATTGCTCTGAACATAGATCTAGGTTTTTTTTTTTTACATAAGGAAGCATGTAAAATCGAACATAGATCTACGTTTGGACAGTTTAGGGGTTAATGCATGGTGGGAGGCTGTTGAACAGTCATGGGCCCTTGACACTTTTTCTGTTTTCTCTTAGTGTACCAATGGTGCTCCTACTTTTCATTGAGGGGTATTTTGCACCATCTGCCCAGTCTTTTACTTTCATAGGGAGTAATTTCTGTGTGCAGATTCAGTACCATTCCTTCTAGGATTTTCCAAGTGTAGATTGTGATATATCTCATCTGCATTCCAGCGAGTACAAGTCAAGTGCTTCCAAGCGTTCCCAGTAGTTAAGGTGTTTGATGGAACTTATATGTGCAGTAAAGGTTTTCTGTACATTCTCTAGATCTGCAGTTTCACCTGTTTTGAGTGATGTTAATGTACAGCAGTATTCCAGCCTAGAGAGAACAAGTGATTTAAAAAGGATCATCATTGGCTTGGCATCTCTTGTTTTGTGGCCTGGTGGCTAAAGCTCCCGCTTCACACACGGAGGGCCCGGGTTCGATTCCCGGAGGAAACATTTCGACACGTTTCCTTACACCTGTTGTCCTGTTCACCTAGCAGCAAATAGGTACCTGGGTGTTAGTCGACTGGTGTGGGTCGCATCCTGGGGGACAAGATTGGTTGAGGACCCCAATGGAAATAAGTTAGGCAATCCTCGATGACACACTGACTTTCTTGGGTTATCCTGGGTGGCTAACCCTCCGGGGTTAAAAATCCGAACGAAATCTTATCTTATCCATCCTATCATTTTGTTGTGATCGTGGCACTGTTGTGATTCTTGAAAGTGAGATCCTTGGATATTACCACTCCCAGGTCCCTCACATTATATTTTTACTGTTGTATAATTAAAGTTTGTAGTATACTCAGCTCTAATTATTATCTCCTCCAGTTTTCCATAACAGAGTAATTGAAATTTACCTTCATTGAACATCACATTATTTTCTGTTGCTCATTGGAAAATTTGTTTTCCAGTGTCTTCTTTTGTTTTTGCAGGCAATAATATTAACTGAAATGTACTACTAAATTATTTTTTCCATAAATATGTATTGCTTGTTATGATGTAAACTTTGAGCACCCTTCTTTACTGCTGTGTGTTCTACATTTTTCAGCAATCTCCCGAAGAAAATTGGATCTTCCCTTTGATATTGTGAGCAGGGCTGTGAACTCCTTGGATCTAAAGACACTTAATGTTGATAGTGTGGAGTTGCTTCAACGCATGGTGCCTACTGATGCAGAGGTCAGCCTCAACCTTCTTATTCACCTGCCTAATGGATATGCTATAGTGGTATAATTAAACAAAATCTGAAATACTTTTGTTAGTTAAATTTACTAGTGGAAATACAGCAATAATATTTAATTTGTTTAAACTGCATTCTTATGAAAATATGTTAGACTATATTTTTTGTATTATTTATAACTTTGAAACATTGTTTCTGCAGCCTTGGATTTAGGTGTGGCTACTTGAAGAATATTCTCAGAAATTAGTAATATTTTTTTTTCCAACAAACCAGCTGTATGCCATCAAAGTAGGGTGACCTAAAAAAGAAAAATGAAAGTTTTTCTTTTTTAATTTAGTAATTTGTACAGGAGAAGGGGCTACTAGTCCCTTGATCCTGGCATTTTAGTCACCTCTTACGACACTTATGGCTTATGGAGGAAGAACTCTTTTTCCACTTCCCCATGGAGATAAGAGGAAATAAAAGAAAACAAGAACTGTTAAGAAAATAGAAGAAAACCCAGATGGGTGTGTAAATATATATTCCTGTACATGCATGTGTAGTGTCACCTAAGTGTAAGTAGAAGTAGCAAGTTATACCTGTTATCCCATGTGTTTATAAGACAGAAAAAAGACACCAGCAATCCTGCCATCATGTAAAACAATTACAGGTTTCTGTTTCACACTCACTTCACAGGTTGGTAGTACACCAATCTACTAAGGAAATTAATATTTTTTTTTTAGCACACTGGCTATCTCCTACCAAGGAAGGGTGACCCAAACAAGAAATTCTTTCACCATTATTCACATACAATCACTACCTTTGCAGAGATGCTCAGATATGACAGTTTAGATGTCATTCCAAACAGCAGATATCCCAAGCCCCTCCTTTAAAGTGCAGGCATTGTACTTCCCACCTCCAGGACTTGAGTCTGGATGACTGGTTTCCCTGAATCCCCTCAAAAAATATTACCCTCCTCACACTCCAACAGCTCATCAAGTCCCAAAAACCATTTGTTTCCACTCTTATCTAACATGCTCACAAATGCCTGTTGCATATCCAAGCCCTTTGCACACAAAACCTCTTTAAACCCCCACCCTCCATCCTTTCCTAGGATGACCCCTGTCCCTACTTCCCTCCACTACAGATTTATGCACCCTCTAAGTCTTCCTGTTTTGCTCCACCTCCTCTAAATGACCAAACTACCTCAACAATCCCTCCTCAGCCCTCTGAATAATACTTATAGTAACTCCTCACTGCCTCCTAATTTTCACACTTCAAATCATCTGTATAATATTTACTCTACATTTATACATATATTTATATGTGTATGCATGAATTCTTTCTCCTTGCCATACTTTCTTCTCATATGTATCTACAATACATAGACTGTTATGAAAATACTAAGAAGCTGTCTTGATGATCACTTGTTTTGGCTAAACTTAATACAGTATACTTCTTTTATTCTACCTTTTTTTTTTTTTTTTTAATATCTTACTCAGTCATAGGAGTGCCTTGAGCCTGGCAAGGGTGGCGAATTGTGTGAGATTAGATGTATTTACATTCAAAAGCAGAGTCAAGAGACGTAACCAATACTAAAAACTGATCGTATATATGTTGGCAGAAATACCGACAATATGTAAAATAAAAGGACACAAGTGCAACTAATGTGACATTTTATTGTGGCAACGTTTTGCTCTCCAGGAGCTTTGTCAAGCCGTTACAAACAGTACATGGACACATGTACATGTGTCCATGTACTGTTTGTAACGGCTTGACAAAGCTCCTGAAGAGCGAAACGTTGCCACAATAAAATGTTACGTTAGTTTCACTTGTGTCCTTTTACTTTACTAAAAACTGATCACATATGTATTTTTTTTTTTTTTTTTTGTACAAATTAAGAGGGGTCAAATCAGAAACAAAAGACAGGGTTCAAGAGATTGCTTAACCTTGAGTTAAATGGGGTATCTGATAAAGGGGTATGGTATAACCCAATATTTTTTTAATCTTTTATCTGCAAAATTGCATATATTTTTTAAGTGTTTTGTGAATTTTTTGTTTACTCATCATTTTGTCTCTTGCCAGATTAAAGCTTACCGAGAATATGAGAGGGAACGAAAGCCTATAAATCAACTAACAGAAGAAGATCAGTACATGTTACAACTCAGTAAAATTGACAGACTTTCTACAAAACTTCAAATAATGAGCTTCATTGCAAATTTCTTTGATAGTGTGCACATTGTCACACCGGTGAGTTAACTTGTTTAATTTTTATTTCTCGTCCTATAAGATGATTAAATTTTAATCACCTTGGTGTGATTCTGATAAAATTGTTGAGAATTCCATAGTATGGTATGTAAAATATATATATTTACAGTGTAAGCAGATAATTCCTCATGCTGTTATTATTAACTATAATGTATTTTGGCACATGTGTCTTTCATCCTGATATTTTTTTCTATTGTTATGTTTAAATTAATCAGACATATATTTTCCTCATATTGTAGCAAGTGCATGCCATCATCACAGCATCCCGATCTGTCAAGAACAGCAATAAGTTGAGAAGAATGCTTGAAGTTATTCTTGCGTTTGGTAAGTACACTAGTTTAATTCCAAATTAAGAAAGCAAATTAAATACAGCCTCTCCTCACTTACTGCCGGAGTTCCATTCCTAAGACCACGTCAGTAAACAAATTCATCACTAATTGAGGACTCACCCCTTACTGACACTTCAAAAGTGTCACCACCCAAAATTAAAACATTCGGTTTTATGTTTGCTGGGAAATTCCTTTCAATTTGTTTATCATTAATCGTACTACAACATGAAATAGGTCAATGACTTACTTCCAAGATATTCCAGGAAACGCATGCGTAGCTGATTACAGTGGAACCTTGTCTTATGAGTTTAATCCATTCCGTGACCTAGCGCATATGTCAAATAAATTTTACTCATTTAAATTAATTGAAGTGCCATTAATCTGTCCCAGTGGCAGGACAAACTATTTCAATTTAACAACTCTACAGCTTATTTATCTATCAAAATTCATCTAATATGACATAATAAACAATATAATTAACAGAGAAACATGATATATAGTCTAGAATGAATAAAATAGGCCATAATATGACGAGTGATGATACAATTTGTTTTGTTTGATTGCTGAACTTAACTGATACAATTTGCTGTAACTCCATAGAAATTGTCCTCTTTTTCTCTCAGCACTGTCCTTTGCACTTATTTTCTTAGGACCTGTTACTTTGCTCACACTCCAACAGCACGCCAAGTATTAAAAACCATTTGTCTCCATTCACTCCTATCAAATACACTCACGCATGCTTGCTGGAAGTCCAAGCTGTGATTTTGTGTATAGGACATGGAGGAATAACATCTTGTAGGAGTGAGGAAGAGCCAGTTATGAGTGTGGGGGAAGTTCGTGAGGCAGTGGGTAGAATGAAAGGGTGTAAGGCAGCTGGGATTGATGGGATAAAGATAGAAATGTTAAAAGCAGGTAGGGATATAGTTTTGGAGTGGTTGGTGCTATTATTAAATGTATGGAAGAGGGGTAAGGTATCTAGGGACTGGCAGAGAGCGTGCATAGTTCCTTTGTATAAAGGCAAAGGGGACAAAAGAGAGTGCAAAAATTATAGTGGGATAAGTCTGTTGAGTATACCTAGTAAAGTGTATTGTAGAGTTTTTATTGAAAGAATCAAGAGTAAGACAGAGAGTAGGACAGCAGATGAACAAGGAGGCTTTAGGAAAGGTAGGGAGTGTGTAGACCAAGTGTTTACAGTGAAACATGTAGGTGGACAGTATTTAGATAGGGGTAAAGAGGTTTTTGTGGCATTTATGGATTTAGAAAAAGGCATATGACAGGGTGGATAGGGGGGCAATGTGGCAGATGTTGCAGGTGTATGGTATAGGAGGTAGGTTACTGAAAGCAGTGAAGAGTTTTTACAAGGATAGTGAGGCTCAGGTTAGAGTATGTAGGAGAGAGGGAGATTATTTCCCAGTAAAAGTAGGCCTTAGACAAGGATGTGTAATGTCACTGTAGTTGTTCAATATATTTATAGATGGGGTTGTAAGAGAAGTGAATGCTAGGGTTTTGGCAAAAGGTGTGGAGTTAAAAGATAAAGAATCAAACACAAAGTGGGAATTGTCACAGTTGCTCTTTGCTGATGACATGGTGCTTTTGGGAGATTCTGAAGAGAAGTTGCAGAGGTTGGTGGATGAATTTGGTAGGGTATGTAAAAGGAGGTTTTGTGTGCGAGGGGCTTGGACTTCCAGCAGGTATGCATGAGTGTGTTTGATAGGAGTGAATGGAGACAAATGGTTTTTAATACTTGACGTGCTGTTGGAGTGTGAGCAAAGTAACATTTATGAAGGGGTTCAGGGAAACCGGCAGGCCGGACTTGAGTCCTGGAGATGGGAAGTACAGTGCCTGCACTCTGAAGGAGGGGTGTTAATGTTGCAGTTTAAAAACTGTAGTGTAAAGCACCCTTCTGGCAAGACAGTGATGGAGTGAATGATGGTGAAAGTTTTTCTTTTTTGGGCCACCCTGCCTCGGTGGGAATCGGCCAGTGTGATAATAAAATAATAATAAATAATAAAATGTAAAAGAAGAAAATTAAAAGTGAATATAGGAAAGAGTAAGGTTATGAGGATAACAAAAAGATTAGGTGATGAAAGATTGGATATCAGATTGGAGGGAGAGAGTATGGAGGAGGTGAATGTATTCAGATATTTAGGAGTGGCCATGTCAGCAGATGGGTCTATGAAGGGTGAGGTGAATCACAGAATTGATGAGGGGAAAAGGGTGAGTGGTGCACTTAGGAGTCTGTGGAGACAAAGAACTTCGTCCGTGGAAGCAAAAAGGGGAATGTACGAGAGTATAGTTGTACCAACACTCTTGTATGGGTATGAAGCATGGGTGATGAATGTTGCAACAAGGAGAAGGCTGGAGGCAGTGGAGATGCCATGTCTAAGGGCAATGTGTGGTGTGAATATAATGCAGAGAATTCGTAGTTCGGAAATTAGGAGAAGATGTGGGATTAAGAAAACTATTATCCAGAGGGCTGAGGAGGGGTTGTTGAGGTGGTTCAGACATGTAGATAGAATGGAAGAGAATAGAATGACTTCAAGAGTGTATAAATCTGTAGTGGAGGGAAGGCAGGGTAGGGGTCAGCCTAGGAAGGGTTGGAGGGAGGGGGTAAAGGAGGTTTTATGTGGAGGGGCTTGGACTTCCAGCAAGCATGCATGAGTGTATTTGATAGGAGTGAATGGAGACAAATGGTTTTTAATACTTGACGTGCTGTTGGAGTGTGAGCAGGCCGGACTTGAGTCCTGGAGATGGGAAGTACAGTGCCTGCACTCTTAAGGAGGGGTGTTAATGTTGCAGTTTAAAAACTGTAGTGTAAAGCACCCTTCTGGCAAGACAGTGGTGGAGTGAATGATGATGAAAGTTTTTCTTTTTCAGGCCACCCTGCCTTGGTGGGAATCGGCCAGTGTGTTAATAAAATTAATAATAAAATAATGTAGTCCAACAAACTACTGTCATTTCGCCCTACATCATATCTTGTATACTTATTTATCCTCTTTTTCTTAAAATATGTATTACCTATAACCAAACCCCTTTCTATATAAAGTTCAATTGAAGAAAATATAAAATAAAAATGAAAATTCCAACTTGATAACTTTATTTTAATTTGTATAACTCATATATGTTACAGAAAACAACAAAAAAGTAAAATACACATACAATGAGTTAAGCTTACAGACAAATAGCTTAGGAATCTGGCAACATTTTGGTATAAGTACGATCTCTGTACCATGTTTCTACAAAGAATTATAGTAATTTTACAAAAATTATTTTTTATGACATGGCAAGTAATACACACCTGAACGTGTAGTGAATTTTCAGAATATTTTCTGATTTTTTTTTTTTTTTATTTTTCTGTCTAATTCACCATCTAACATTGTTACGAAGTGGGAGGAGCTATGGGAGAGAGGGAGAGGCCAGCAGAAGGAGCATTCAGTATCTGGTGAGTCGTCATGAATGTCGGGTACTAGACGTGGCACTAATAAAATGTTGTGTATTTACTCTAATATTAGTAATAAAGCTTATCTGTCTATCACATTTATTCTAAATTGATATCGGAAACACGATAAATACCCTAGAACTGAAATAAAGATGCTGAAATGAATAATATATGCCATATTATGTGTGGGATACTTGGCAGAAGCTGCCGCTCTGGGATAAAATTGTAAGATAGTTACGTTCTCTCATCTGTGCCTCTGGTCTATAATGAAAGAAAATGGTGTTTACATCAGGGCAAACACTCCTAGATCACTCTTGTCATAAGAAAAAATGCAAAAATAGCATGAGTGCTGCTGCACTTCTAACTCTATCTTCTACTATGGGATGCACAACAAAGTACAAATTTATAGATGAATTACAGTAGAACCTCTGCTTATGAGTATAATCCTTTTCGTGACCTTGCTCGCATCTGGATTTGCTTGTTTGCAGAGTCAGTTTTCCTCATTTAAATTAATTGAAATGCAATTAATCCATTCCACCTCTCAAGAGGCACAGCAAGATACTTCAGTATTTTGCTAATATCATATATACGACTTATTTATCTATTAAAATTCATCTAATATGACATAATAAACAATATAACTAACATAGAAACCTGATATACACCTACCATCCGACTTACGACCTGCTCGACTTACGACCACTCGACTTACGACAGTGTTTTTTATGCCAAATTTCTGGGAAATAAACAACGATTTGTGTTGTACACAGTGTTTATCCTAAACCTTACAGTATAAAATACAGTACTAACAGCATAAAAAGTAAAGTAAAACATGAAATACCAAAATAAAACAATAAAATAAAGTCATTACAAAAATGTGATGTTGATATTCAGTAGTAAAGTTCAACTTACATCCATTTCGACTTACGACCAGTTTCTCGGAACTGGACTTGGTCGTAAGTCGGATGGTAGGTGTATACTCTAGGATGAATAAAATATGTCATTCACATAGTGATATTGGCGGCATTGGCAACGGACGAGAGTTTGTCTGGAGAAGGTCAAAATGCTTCTTGAATATTTTGCTAATATCAACTCTGTGGCTTATTTATCTATCACAGTTCATCTAATATGACATAATAAACAATATAAATAACAGAAACCTGATATATACTCTAGAATGAATAAAATACATTATTATGTGACAAGTGTAGGCGGCCACAACCGCTCCTACATTGTTGTGGTAATCTCTGCCATCTAGTGACAGCCTGTTGAAGCTGTCTATTATTATAATTATTATTATATAGTACATTATTATTATATGTGTACGTATTATTATTATATGTACAATGGACCCTCGATAATCGTAAGGATCGAAAGTCGTAATTTTCGAAAATCGTAACGTTATTTTCGTCAAAACATTGACTCGCGAATCGTTGTTTTACTCGCAAATAGTCGTTCATCCCAGATGCGTACACATAGCTCCGAGCCACCTCGCACTCCTTCCCCAGCCAGTGTGCCATTGTTTACTGGTGAGTGACGGTCCGCTCACTTGTTCA